GATTAATAGATTCTTTGAAAAAAGTAATCGATAGATTAATTGATCATCAAAATAATCATTTGTTACAGCCATAATTATCTATGTAGAGTTTTATCAGTTTTATTAATTTTCGTACCTCAACAAGGCAATATTTCTAAATTTCATTTAATATTTACATTTTATTTGATTTCAGCTTGGTATTATATATTAATTTTGTTTCAGTTTTAGTATACACTAAAAACGCTGATAGAATATATACATTGAATGCAATATAATTTAACGCAAATGCCATGGTGTTGTGTTGAAGTATCACTTTGTTAGCTTAGCAACAAGCTAATGTCAGACAACTGGAAACAAAAGTCAGCCAGGTTTTTGTGCAGCTCACAGGAGCGCTGTTCCAATTCTGTCATTTATGAGATTCTATGATATTAGGATGCTGCCTTAGAAAGAAGCTGCCTATGTAGGCAGCATGGAGATCACTAGGTTACGAAACAACTATTGTGTGATTGGTATGGTCATAGCACTGATAGATTTTATATCGAATATGACATCCTTAATGGCTTGGCTAACATTTTTCACTCGCCTTGTATGATGCAGTTGGTCTAAACTGTCACATTAGCCAGTTGCTCAACTCATGGACATCGCTGACAGAATCGTTTACAAAGGAAACTTTCCATAAGTTCCTCTCTGCCAGTGCCAAACTCTCACAACAGCCCTTCCCTCTCATTGACATGAAGCTGCTTTTTGAGCATGCGTGGGTATACGGCGCTTCCTACAATTTTTCTGCCTGCCAGTCTTTCATAAAGTTCTCCCTGTCTGCTTCAAAGGACACAAAGAAAGCTGCATGGTGGTAGTTGATGGCTACTAAAGGAGGATGGCTGTGTGGGTTTAGGGGTTTGTTGTTTTAAATGGATGAGGGATGTTCTCTTGTTCAGCTTGTCATTTGTCTCCTGACTCTGCAATTAAATCCACACACAGCTTTGGGGTGGGGGTTTTCCTGCTTTGCAGTCATTAGCTTTGTTTGTGATTGGGTGGCGGCTTTAATGGTACTGTTACCAAGATTTAATAACCTCCACTAAGTACCTGCTTTTGCACATGGGGAGGGCACATTAGACCTTCTTACACTGGATGTTTTTATTGGTTTTATTGAACAACTGATAGGTTCTTCAAGAGCTAATGCTGATATTTAGAGTCAAGGGTGGTGGGGGGGGGATTAATTAAAGGGGTCATATGACGTTGCTAAAAAAAATAACATTATTTTATGTATTTGGTGTAATGAAATGTGTTTATGCAGTTTAAGGTTCAGTAAACACATTATTTTCCACAAAATGTACATTATTGTTTCTCCTCTATGCCCCGCCTTTCTGAAACGCGTCGATTTTTACAAAGCTCATCGTTCTAAAAAAAAAAAGCGAGGGGTGCTCTGATTGGCCAGCTATCCAGTGCGTTGTGATTGGCCGAATAATTCAAGCGTGTGACGGAAATGTTACGCCCCTTACCATACTGTGATGTCTTGTCCAGGCTGGAGCGATGAGACAAAAACATTAAAACCCATTATAAACGAGGCATTTGTTGCATCCAGTGGGGACATA